TGAGTCTCCCAGGAGGGTGCAGTGTCCCACGGCCTTGGTCCAGCCTAGACCTCTTTCCCAGGCCACAATCAGGAAGCTGGATGGGAAGCAGGGCAACCTGGAATAAAACTAGAGCCCATATGGGAATCCCGGCGTGTTCAAAGCAAGGACTTTAGCTGCTAGGCTACCGTGTCAGGCCCATGCATTTAGTTTGTTCATTTGAAATAAAGTTGTGCAGACAGAGATGAAAGAGATGAAGGGAAGAGAGAGCAAGAGATAGAAGATATGTCTTGCATCCCGTCTTCACTTCCGAAGTGGTTACAATAGCCAGGGCAAAGCCAGGTCAAAGCCAGGAACCAGGAGCTTTTTCTGGATCTCCCATATGAGTGCAGAGCCACAAGTGCTTGTCCAGCCTCTGCTGCTTTCTCAGCTGCATTATGCAGGGCAGCTGAGACTTGAACCAGTGCCCAGGTGGAATACTGATACAGCTTAACCTGTTATGCAAAAACACTGACACCCTAATGTTAAAATTCTTGTGCAAAGTATCATGTGTGTTTTTTTGGAGGAGTATAATATGTCAAAAAGGGATGAAATGTGAATTCATCATTTAAATATAAACACAAATTAATATTTCTCATTTGACATGTTTAATGTGAACTGTCATCAGCATTCTCAATGTTGCTTATTGTAACTTTTTACCTTCTCTTCCTAAAAATGTAGACACTTGAAATAGCGTTATGTTGGCTCTTCAGATATTCTAATATCTGGTTTATTGGGAAACAAAATTCTAAATATTTTCTGGGTTTGAATTAAGAAGAAATAATTACTGCCTTCTTTGCTTTGCAATACATTAAAACACAAAAGAAGGTAACGGAATCAGAGTGGTGAGAGGAAAGCAGAGCCGGGCTATGGAGATTTCACAGTGTGTGGTGAGAAGAGATGATTTGAAACTCACATCTAGTTTTATGGAGAGAGGAAACCCCAAAGTCATCAGTTCCCATGTTTCTCTTTCCTTTAGTCATCAGTTCAGATGTCTCTCTTTCTCAACCATGGAAATATGTCCATTCAAGTTATAGCTGGACACAACTGTCCAGCTAATAAGTAACCATTTCCAAGAGATCACTGGAGTTCATGAGTAGGTTCAAAGAACAGGCTTTTCAGGGTGAATGTTGAAGATAAAATTCAATGTTACTACCCTGTGTCCAGATTTGTGCCACGCCTTTTACATGTCTCTTCTACATTATCACATCAATCTTACGTGCTAAATGCTAATTGTGGTATGTGGGAGGGTAGTTTCCAAAGAACTGATAAGCATTATGTCACAGATTCAGATCCAAGTCTCCTGACCATAGCACATGGATGTGTGGTTAGAGGCACTCCAAGTTTTGAGTTAATATAACGGCAGATGAGTAGAAAGCTTGATATCTTGCTATCCAAGATATTTTGATATCTTGCTATCTTGATATCTTGCTGTGCCAGAGTTGCATGCTGGGAGTAGCAGGAGCTATGAGGGATGATCACATTTATAAAAAGTTATAAATGTTCAAAGTACTCAAAATTTTGAGCAAATTTGTTTCATATGGTAGGATACAGCGTTATCATAATTTCTGATGTCTCTTTCCCATTATTTTCAAACTGGTTGGTTTCCAATCATTTTCATTTTTAGAAAAACTTCACTGACTCCATCACTGATTTTTCTATTTGTGGTATCTCATGAGCTTTACTGTTCAATAAAAGTTTAGTTCTTGAATATCTCTGACAAGTTTATGAAGCACCACAGCAATGATTTTGCCTTTAGCATCTCTTCCTGACATGGAAGTTAGGATTTTGTACTGCGTCTAGATATTTCCATATTCGTCTATAATTATTTATACTTCTGGGAAATCTTTGCAGAAGTGGGAAATAGGAAACACACATATTGATTATAGAATCTTGGAGTTATGTGCAAATAATGTAACATTATATAGTTGCCTGCCATATTCTGCATAATTTGCTGCATAACTTGCATGTTGAAACATTATTGACTTTTTTTCTATGAAGTTAATATTTTTTAGATTGACTTTGGATTTATTTCCACTTCTTCAAAACATTTTTTTTAAAAAAAAATATTTACTTACTTCAAAACACAGAGCTGGAGAGAGGTCTTTCACTAATGGTTTACTATCCAAATGGCCTAGGGTAGGCCAGGCTGGAACCAGAAGCCAGGAATGTTCTTCAGATCTCCCCAGTGAGTGGCAATGGCCTGAATACATGGGCCTTCTTCCACCACTTCCCTCAGGTTATCAGCAGGGAGTACAACTAGAAGTAGGGCAGCTGAGACACAAATTGGCACCTTTATGGGAGACCAGTGTTGCAGGCAGCAACTGTGCCTGATAAAGCACAATGCCAATCTTCCTAATTTTTAGAACAAATATATTAGAAATGTTTTAAATTGTTTTCACCCATTTAGAAAGCAGAAAGAGGGGGGAAACAAAGAGAGAAGAGGCAAGGAGAGAGAAAGAATACCTCTCCCTGCCACAAACGAGCACAGCACGTATGCCTGGGGTAGGCTGAAGAGCCAGGAGCCCAGAACTCGATCTCTGTGTTGTGCATGGATTTCAAGCACCCAACTACTAGAGATATCACTTGTTGCCTTCCAGGGTTAGTATCAGAAAAAGCTGAAATGGGCATCCGAGCCAGAACTAGAACCTATCTCTCTCTTTGTTCAGGATGTCATTGACCCAACTAGTGACTTTGCTGTGCCAAACACGTACCTCCAAATTCATGTTTAACTAACCAACTTACATTTGCAACCACACTCAGATCACACACAACTTCTGTATAGTAATCCTTTCACGTTAAGACCACCTGCTTTCTTTGACCTAACAAGGCTTTACAATCCCTTCAGAGCCTTCAAATGACAGCTTAATCATGTCCCTTGCATTGAATTACAGTCTGTGGTTTCTTCATGATATAACAAATTTACAGGTGATAGCTCTGCTCATCCAGCTACCTTTGGATTATGAGAAAACTATTAGATGCTTCTCTCTGAAAATTTATACATATTTCTTATTGAGACCTGGTGTCCTTAGAGCCACTGTGGTCACAAAAGTTTTATCATGCATTTTACATAACACGAAATGTTTAACCAGTGACTTTTCCCCAGAAGAGGAAGGAAAATTGTGAATATGTAAATTATTGTTTAAAGGATGAAACCAAGAATGATAATTGCCAAATGTACTTTCCCTGCTTCTGATGTGTCTAGTGACGTTTCAAAGTGCAAAATTTCCTCAAGCAAATAAAGTCAAAATAACATCTGGCCACTCTTTCAAGTTTATTCTCTTTGTATGTGTTCATAAGACAGAAAGAGACAGACATTTTCCTTTTTGCTCTTTATTCTCCAAATGTCTGCAATAATAGAAACCGAACCAGGCCCAAAGAATGCGTAATGCAATCCGGGTCTCCAACATGGTCAGCAGACCCCCTGCCAGGGTGTTAGCAGGAAGTCCTAATCAGAAGCAAAGCTGGACCTCAAACTGCAGCACACTGATATGAGTCTTGAGTAGCCCAGAAGACCCCTTTAACTGCCAGGCCTATAACCAACACTTTTATTTTTCATATTCCTTATTAAATTTGTACTTTGCGTTCCTGAAAGGTATTGTGAAATCTGCTAGAAAAACATAAGAAATAATTTGCAAATTAGAAGCGACTATATTAACTATCATGATGAGCAGAATCTTAACAAGCAAGAAGTTAACAGTAAATACAAAAAAAAAATCCCAACAATTTACTAAATACAGTTTTGTAAACACGTTTGAATGCCAGGAAAGAACTATACTCTTCCTCTTTTAGCTGTTTTTAGATGACATCATTGTCTTAATAACATGATTTTGCCAAGAAGTTTTGGAAACCCCCTAGTTACTAAAAGATGATTGACTCTAGAGTCTGCTTGCTTTTAGGTCTAAGCCTGTCAACAGTGATGGAGCTAAACATTTTGAAGCATATTATTGCCTTTGTAAATAAATATTATAGAATATTTGCTAACATTGAAATATATATTGATCTAAAGTCAAGTGAATTATTTGTCAGTTATTCTACAATTCTAATTGATTTGTGCTTTGTTGTGGCTATTCATTTATTTGTTTTCAAGATTTACTCATTTATTTGAAACAGCGAGTGACAAGAGAGGATGAGGGACAGAGATTTTCCTTCTACTGGGTGACAACTCAAATGTTCATAACAGCAACCAGAGCTAGGTCAGGCTGAAGCTAGGCTATGGGAACCTCATCAAGCCCTGCCATGCAGCAACTCAAGAACTTGAGCCATCATCTGATACCTTCCCTGTCATCAGCCACAAGCTGCTTGGAAGCACAGAACAGCCAGACCTGGAGTCAGATCCTGTGATACGGAACGCAGCTGTCCTAAGACACAGCTTAACCCTGCCACAATGTTTGCCCTGGTTGCTATTTTTATGTGGGTTAGGGCAATATTTTACAATTACTTTAACAGAACATGATTTGGAGAGTTGAAATTGAAAATGTCAGTTTTCATTATGCAGGTTAGGTAGTTATTTTTTGTATTTTGAATGGAAATAGCCTGTGTAATTTTAAAAAGTATACTTGTAGTTTGAAATATTCTATAGCAATTTCTTAATATCAACCCAATCGTTGTATCTTTTGCTGTCCTTTTTTAACCTCCTTGAGAAGACTGAATTCCATTTTATACACACACACACACACACATATATATATATGTATGTGTTTGCTGCTCATTCATTTCAAATGTGGGATTCCAAAATATTTATCTAATTTGCAGGTTCTTGACTATATGGCCACAGAACAAGCAAGAAAATAAAGGGCAATGACAAATGAAATCAAGGCATTCAAATGTCTAAATGATGAAAAATATGATTTTTGCAGTAATATATTAAAAGTATTATCCTTAAAGATACTTCCTAAATGGCCTGTGTAGTATTCTTACTGTGACTACTCTGAGCTTTCTCTAAATTCTTGCCTTTCTGTTTTTCATGGTGTTTCTTGCAGTTACTGGCTGACGAACAAAGTGCCCATCAAAAGACCCAGCACAGGTCTCCTCATGTATACTCTCGCGACAAGATTCTGTGATGAGATTCATCTGTATGGATTCTGGCCATTCCCCAAGGATTTGAATGGAAAGCCTGTAAAATATCATTACTATGATGACTTAAAATATAGGTACTTTTCCAACGCAAGTCCTCACAGAATGCCGTTAGAATTCAAAACATTAAATGTGCTACATAATAGAGGAGCTCTCAAACTGACGACAGGAAAGTGTGCAAAGCAATAAAGCACATTTGAAAGACATAAGCAGAGCGAACATGTACTTCGTTTCCGAAGAGGCTTCTGAAGATTTCGCAGTAGGATCCAAAACAAGGCTGGGTTTCAGCATTCACCAATTAACTGAGAAGTTGATGAAGGCTATTCACTGGAGAAATCCACTACCAGCTGAAGAAAATACCTGCAAAGTGCTCTAAAATTTTAATATTTTGACTTCAAGGGTCCTAGTAAGTGCCACTTTCACTAAGACTACAGTTTGAATGTATAATCAGTAGTGTTTACAAGATCCAACAATGCACTTGTCGTTAGTTAATGAGGCGAACACATCCATCGTTCTCGGGCTGCAGCTGCAACATCAAGCACATCAGAAGAGGAACCCAGGACCTCAGCTCCGCCTTGGGCAGTTCACCATCCTTGTCAGCAGAAAGGAACACGGGGACCGTTCCAACAGTGAATTCCACAAGAAGAAACAACTCAAGTAAATGCCTTCAGTCAGGACTCCGAGTCTGATCATGAATGTTGTGCTTTTCAGTTATGTTTCTGTTCGTCTTATGGAATCTCTTTTACTTGGGGTATGTGGGTGCTTAGAAATCCTTTCTGTGGTGTAGAAATGAGAAACCTAAGAACAGGAAAAAGTTATTTCAAGTCATTCTTTCTAAAGCAGTATTTTCAAAGAGCAATCACAAAAGACTTTTTTTTTTTAAATTATGTTGCACAACTTGAAACCTCCAGATTATTTTTCAGTGGGTAGAAGGTACCACCAAAACCGTACAACTTGGTAATAGTGAGTCACTCTCAAGAAAATACGTACCATGTCATCTGAGATGGCAAAACTAACAGGAACAACACGCCCTTTGGTTACCAAAGATTGTGTTCATTTTCTACACAACAAAGCATTCTCTTTCCAAGAAAATAATGAATTAATACCATGAATATATGACTAATGTGAATGTTGTTTCCAAATACTTTAAATTTATTTTCATTTGAAGGAAGACTTGCATACTTTTCCTATTTCACGATCATTTTGCAGAAGCATTTTACCCATTGGAACAGATCATTGATGAAGCCGAAATGTGGCTTCCAGGTTTTTTTTAATCCCTTTATTGTCCAGATAGAAAGATTGGCATACTTGCTATATCCTTGTTAAATCTCTTGAAAAATTTGCAGAAATAACAGGATTAGTAGAATGTCATTTTCATAATGGAGATGATTATTTTTGAAGATACTCAACAATGAAATTGTATGTTAAAATTTTGCACTTAAAATAAATTCAAGTGACTAACATTTTTGTGTAGTTCAATTTAGCTACATTTTATCACATTAGAGATTTTTTTTTAAAGAAACACAAAAATCATACAAATGGCTTTAAGATAATTTAACGCAGTGAAGCATGACCAACAGGTCGGTTTTCTCACCAGTCACACTATGGTGGAAGGTGATACTGAAAGTAATTTTTTTTTTCCATCAGAAAGCAGAAGCATGGTCTTCTCACTTCTACTTTGGCCTGGAACAACTTTACGTGACTTCTTGTTTCTTAGGGAAGGCAATGGGAAGAAAGAAGAAATAGCATGGAACATATGTATGTTTGTTTCATAAAGAAGGTACTCTGAGAAATGAACAAAGCATGAACAATATATATATATATATTGCATATATATTCATGAAAAAAGTTGCACAAGTGTCTATTTCTCAGTATTTAAATACCATGGAGTGTTATTTTAAGGAATATGGTAGAACCTTGAGATACGGAAGACTCTATTTTCTGAGAATCCACGGGTCTAGAAAAGAAAAGTTGAACACTTCCAGGAAAGTGATAGTTAAATATGAATGGGATATTAACAGAGTTTTATCAATCAACAGCTTATAAAAATGTTTAAAGAGCTAGGTACATTTTTAATGCAAAGCAGATAAGTACAACTTATTTAACACATCAAAAGTAAATATTTTATAGAAATGTGATTTGGAATACTTGCAGAGATAAGCTGTGTCAGTTGCCTTTCATTTGAATTTAGTAGAAATCTAGAAGTCATGAGTCAGCTGTTACAGGTGTTTCTCATTTTGGCAGTCCTTCAAAATTTGTCTTAGCAAGCGCTATTGACAGTTTCACTGGGCTTCAACGATAAGCCAGTCTAAGGCCACAGCGAACACACCTCAGCTCTCCACAGTGTTGTGTGCACTGTTGTTGATCTCATAGAGACATTGAGTAGTGCCTTTTTAGCTCCTTCACATTGCTTTCTTACTCTGTGCTTTGCGTTCTCTGTGTCTTCTACCCAGTTCTGAAAATCACCTGGTAGGAAAAGGGCTTCAGTGTCAGCGGAGACTACTGTTTTTCATCTCAGGGAACTTTCAATACTCAAGAATGAACTTGATGAAAGGTATTTAGTGTTCAAGACAGACTCTACAAGACCATCTCATTCCCTGTTGTCTAAGTTTCCATCTGCCCTCCCCCTTAGCTATAGTCTGGGCCTTTTCTTAAGAATGGAGCAAATAGCTCATGGAAGGCCAACAAAAAGATGAAGAACCGAGACTTAACTATTAAGGGGGCATAAGGAATCATAGCAAAAATCTAACTCTAAGTACATACTTGAAATACCTGGGTTTGTTTAGTTCTGTTTGGGAAGTGATCATCCATGCACAGCTTCATTTTGTACATCTTTGTTTCACAGCTTCATCCTCCATCTGGCAATGCTGAGGCAGCTGATTGTGAAATATCCCTTTGCTTTCTATACTATGGTTGTTGCTGTGCTGTTGACATGAATAGGCCATGAAACATGTTCCCCATTATTATTCAGCTTGCTCTATATTTAATATTAAGTTGCTGAAATAAAGTAAATCAGTAACAGATTTTTGCTTTTCTGGGCAAATTCAATGATTCAGCCCACAGGACGGATACAACGACTGTGGAAGTTTTCTATCTGGAAGGTGCTGGGCATTCAACTGTCTTCATGTAATGTATATCATATGAATTGTACATCCATTGCTAATGGGGATTTCTATATATATGCTTACAGTAGCGATTTATTTAATTATTGCTGGGGGTGATGTACATACCAACTAGTCTCTAAGCTACTATGAAGGGAAAGGGTGAACAGAATAACTTATGTCGATTTGAGCCAGGTAATCATAATGCACATAATGTGGTATTTGGTTCATAAAAGAATTGTTTTTATGTGGTTATTGTAAAGGTATTTATAATGTGGAGGGGTGTGGGGAGAGTTATGTATAGTTAGTTGTTACCTCCACAAGTTTGGATGCTTTCTCCATCAAACATTATCAGTTTACCAATGTTTTAAAAACTGAGTAAGGGTTATTATTCATATCTGAGAAAAGCCAATCCAAATAAGCCCACCTAGAAATAGATACTTTATTATATATGTGCTATAGGTATATCTATATAGTACAATTAGACATGTGTGATGCATATATACAATGTTATATATGTGTACCTGTGTGTCTACACACTGAATTGTAATATGTACACAATAGATTTGTGTTAATGGTGATCCCTTCAGGGTCTGCCCTCTGAACTGCCCTGGAGATAAATAAGACCACTTTAGAGTAAAGTTCTTTTGAGACTTCAGTTATTAATCTGCTTTAAAAAGGATCTACTGAATTCTGTGTTGTTCATGCCTAGAATTACATGAAGGGTCTTCTAGTATGTCGAATCTTAACAATAAAAGAAAAAGGAAAAAAATATATATATTTCTTCAAGCTGGCAATATATTGGAATTAGAGTTTTCAGATTGTGGCCCCAGGTCTGTGTTCCTCATTGAAGTAGCACTTTTTAAATAAATACTGTTTTATTGTGTAGGCAAAAGCACAAGAGTTTGAAGTGTATATAGCAAGAGAGAAGAGTTTACAGAGACAGCCTTGCTGCACAGGATAATTGCTACTGAGTATTTCTTATTCTGTCAGGTTCATTTTGTTCAACACTGTTTCCCTATTGTTTAGGCATAGAAATCTGGTATTATTGTTTTATCATTTGTAAAATTGTAAAATAAATTAAATGCTTTTTTTCCAATTGCTTTTTTTTCTCTTCTCTTATATTCACCCCAGAAGTCCCACTTTCTTTTTTAGTACCAGATGATTATTTGCTTTGCATTTGAAAATATACAAAGGGGAAATGAAAACTCCTTCTCCTGGTTTACTCTCCAAACACTGGGGATGGGCATGGAGCAGGTCGAAGCCAGGAACCTAAACTCAGTCCCAGTTTCTTGTATGATTGACAGGGATCCAGCTGTGTGAATCATCACCTGCTTCTTTGCAGTATGGGCATCTACTGGAACTAGAGTTTGGGAGGGAACTTAGGAATAGAATCAGCTACTTCCAGTGATACCAGATGCAAGCGTCGCAAGCAGCGTCTTAAGCTATAAGACAAACACACTATAAGGCTTGTTTGTACAAATGGCACAAGAGGACAGCAGGCCAGGCATCACACCAGTCCATCTGTCCCGTCAGTGGCTGGCAGAAACTGTCACTACTGAGCCTTTGTGGCGGGGGAGGGGACTGGGCATCTTTAGAAGGCTGAGCTGGAGCAGGTGCTGCAGGTGCAGCCTGGTCTGGGACTTTGGGGTTGATCTGCAGCAATTCTTGACTTGTTTCATGAGATCACTCTAAGTTCTTTGCAACTTTGAAGCATTTGCCAGGGACCAACCTATTCTATGTATAATTTAGAATTTTTACACAGACCAAATATTTTCATAATAATAATTACAAATACGAAAAACACTTAGACTAATATATTTGCATATTCTCTAAATACCTTGACATTAGCATAAATGCGTTTGCAAGAGCAATTCCATACCTTTTCTCCTTCTAGGTGACACAAATAGTCAGCTAGCTGTAACAAGTCAGTATTACAGGAAAGCAACATGAGAAGGTGTTCATTTGTGCTTTGTGGAACAACTGGAACTCTCAAAGCGAGTTCATGCTCTGCTGTCTGTCCAGCTCAGCTTCCTTGGTCACAGCCTCCCTGAACCACACAGATGGGCTGATTCCATGCACATCTGGCTTGGCTGCCAGAATGTAAACACGCTCAGCTGGCAGCAGATGTTCTTTTTTTAAGAAAGCTCACTGCTACTGAAGCTGCTTTGCTGTGGAGCCCCTCAGCTGATCTCCGTGGCAAGACCTAAGTCGATTCTGGCCGAGCAGACAATTCCTCTCTCAGACACAGCACAGCCACAAAGCAGGTGCAGCCTCCTCTGTGCCATAGTCATAATGCCCATACAGGGGAAAACAGCAAATATTCTCCCAGTAGATTGGAATATTTCATTTACTATAAAATATTTTCAAAATGGGATTTTTCTCATTTGTTTTCTAATTTTCTCCTTTACACTGTTCTTCAAAACTCATGTGTTCATAGAAAAAGGATAAATACCCTTTCTGCTTTTCACTGTGGTAATTCAGGTTTGTATATTTCTGTGATACTTTAATAATCTTCTGCATTTATAGGGAGAATCCTATGGTATAATTCTATTTAATGTTATTAAATTATATTTTATATTTGTTTTATGTGAGTGTATTAACTCTTCACAATGCAACAGATATCTACATTAAATATATAGAGATGTATAAATGTGCATATACATTTGCAAATCTCGATGCCATAAATATAAAATATATAAAATTTGTATTTATATATAATACAGAGGAGTCCTATTGACCACAACATCAATCTTAGTCTATAGAGATGGATAGTCAAGCAAATGTATTCTGATCACCAACTACTGTACTACATGTTACAGTGTATCATGAATTCAATTCATCAAACATTTATCGACTGTTGATAATGTGCTCCTAGCAGGAGCTAGCGATTTTTACATCTGTGCGGATTTATTTCTGTTGTTCAAATGACATGCCACTGGGAACTCCAATTATGTATGACTATACTAGTTGATTAGGCAGGACTTGGGGCAGAAAGAATTTGGAAAAATATCTGAGACTCGCAGATGAACAGGCTGCTTTGTGGATAAACTGTCGTGGTGCATTCTCTGTCGCGTTGAGATACTCTGAGTACTGGATGTGGGCTGAATTGAATACAATCTACAGTCAAATGGTAAAATCAAGTCAAGCACTACTCCATTGACAAGACAATGACGATGCATGAACACAGCAGACCCACATAACAAAAACTCAGTTGTGTTTTTATTCCTTTTTCTTAGTTTTGAAAGATTATTACCATAGGTAATTAACATCTCACAACTCTTGCTTTAGAAATTATGCAATCCTGATTATACAGATCACATCTCCAAGATTTATTTTACCAAAGATTTAGTTATCTGAGAAGGAGAGAAAAGAGTGAAAGAACTTGTATCTGCTGGTTCACTTCCGAAATGGCTGCAACAGGCCAAAATCAGGAACCAGAAATTCAGTCTGGTCTCCCACAAGGCTGGCAGGGTCCCAAGCTCTTGAACCATCTTCTCTTGGTTTCCCAAATACATACACAGTACGCTGGATGCAAGTGCAGCACATGAATTGAACTCATGCTCACATAGAATGCTCCTGGTGGCTAAGGCAGTACTTTAATCCACTGTGCCACATTCTTCCCTCCTCTATTTTTTATCATGACAAGTTTGAATGAAACTGAAGCCCACCCTATACCAAATATTTACCACCAAAACCACTTTTTATTGTAACTATAGAGCATCTGGTGTTAGACATTATACAATATCATCCACTTTCAAAATATAACTCTTTTAAGATTTACGTTTTGTTTTCTGATGGAAGAAATACAACATCGAAAAAAACCCATGCTTCTTTTTAATAAGTAATGAAGTTTTAGTAATATATCTTCGTCACATCAATAGGTGTTTTCAAGTGATCCTAGTTTTTATATTTGATTTTGGAATGACTCCAGAATCTGAAAATTCACCTGACAAAAATGTTGAAGACGTTGAAATCAAAACTTGTGATACCGTTTCTCTCCCAATGGTCATCCCAGCATGCTCTTCTTTAGTCTCATTTTACATCTTTATTAAATATACTGTATTTCTGGAAGATTTTTCACCAGTCCCTTTCCTTTTATATCCTACCCTGCAGAAATCTTATGCATTCCAATGCTCCATAACCCTTGGCAGATGTATGGATATACCCTACGGGTGAAAATAAAATCAATGAATACATTCATATAAAATGTACATACTTATGTCCCAATCCAGTTTTCCCTTCATATAGAACTCAAGGGAGTTTTCATGCAAATAGCTTATTTGGTAAACATGTCTAGGAAGAAATGAGGAATTAGGGAAACAGTAAAAGAAAAGAATGAAGCCCATAGAAAGATGTTTTCAACCTGTCTGTTTCTGAGCAACAGTGTTCAGTCCCACAAGGGCTAGTGGAATGGTCTAATGAACAGGATTAGAGGATTCCAAGGATGAGAGAAACAAACACTTAGTCAACACACTCAAACCCCCACACTCCCACTGAAATTGTCTGCTGCAGTCATTCACTTCCTCAGCTCAGAGTTGCGCTTATTAATTGTGGTTTTCATGTACTGCATGTTGGGGGAAAGTGCTGACATAACTAAAGTAGCCAAAATGCCAATTTGAAACCAGGCTCTGTCTAAACAACACAGTTTGTTAAATCAGTGGTGGGAGTAACGGTACAGAGAGAAAAATGAGGTGCCACGAAGATGTTTAATAATAGCATTCTCTGCGCATAATACACAAAAACATTTTGTCTTCCATTAGTTCTAAGCTTTATCCAACTTTCCACATTGTTAGAAGGCTGTCAAGCTTACATAAGATCATTGAGGGGGACAATTTGGTCAATTCTATTACTCAGGTTTATTAAAACTCATCTCCCTTTCTCAACCATTTTAAATCTTCCTCACTTTGGTTGTTGTGAGTTGATTAACTAAGAGACCACCCAATTGTTCATTTCAGTGAGTCCAAGAACTTACTTGACTTACATAGATGCTAATTGTTTCAATTGTTCATAGAAACTGATTTCTGGGCACTGAAGTTCCGTGAGAAACTCAAAGCTTTTTCTAGATCCCAGACAGGTGTACTCTTCTCTCACTGGACTCTACAGCATGAGCTCTAATTCTTTGCAATGGTCAGTAACCGTTATATCCTTTCTTTACATATTGATTCATTGTCATGAGAAGCTCACTTAATGAGGTAGTAGCTTTAGCCTTGGGTTCAGAGAGATCTTTGTTAAATTCCTCAAAAGTATTCTCCCATTAGGAACCAAAACTTCAAATCCAGAAAAGTCTGCAACACACATTTCTGAATTAGATGAACAAGATGAGCCAATAATTCCTTCATTAGAACACCAGTTATGGAACTGATACTTTACGTATCAAGGGCATAACACTGTATCGGTCATTAGTTTAATGTGTATAATACATCTTAAAGACACTATCCCAAATCCATAAGGTTGTGATGAACAGTTAAGAAGATGTTCCATTATGTTGTACTAGCACTTTTCGGCAATAAGGTATGTAGTGAGGTAAGTGGATAACGCAGTAATGATAATGCATGCATTGTTTCACTTTATGTGCTATGAAATTGCTCATTAGTTTAAGGAAATGTTATACAGGAGCCCATTGTAATAAAGCAGCGATTATGTAAGAGACTGAATTAGAAGTCTGGGAGACGCACTATACCTGGAAAAGCATTTCTATATCCAGAATTACGGCAATTCTGAGAAACTACATCCAGAGCTATGAGAATCCAACAGAAATGCACCTTCCTTCATCGCAACATGTCTTAAAATTGCCCAACTGGAATTGGTTCCATATTAGAGTGTGCCCAATGACTGTCATTCAGAGAAGCAGCAAATTAGCCTTCATTAAGAGAGAACCCACACTGTTGGGACAAGAACAGTTCCATCTATCTCACCATAAATAATGTATAGGTTGTTGCACAAACACTGCATAGATGAGAACAGATGATTTCAGCAGGAACTGAATTACTGCCTATTACAGAGGGTTCTGACACCTTACTGTGAAAATCACCTGAAAATTCTGTGTTTTCTCCCATATCCATCTTCATAAATTATTCTACATAAACCATGTGCCTC